GTGGTAGGACACGGGGCGGGATAATAAGACCAAAGTGCAATCGGTCGGCCTCCCGGGTACATGTGGTTCCCGCAAACTCGAGATACACGGAAAGTTGACTCGGTGATCAATATCTCACTTTAGCGGGTGAGTGAGGTTTGTGTAAGGAATAAATCACCGGTGGTTAGGAATCGATTCGAATCGCCATCGCTCCCGGATAGTGAGCACTTGACTTGAGTTACTTCATCGTAGTAAATGTTTATGGAACACTTGGACAGCTTATAGTGAATATGATAGTATGGAAGTTGTTTAATGATCGGTGGTTATCATTATACGCTTAATCACATGTTTGCTCTAGTATAGGTGCAAATCTAGTCGACAGGTTAATAATAATTAACTTGACAATAATGCTTTTAGAAGGGTTCTTGAAATGCTAAAATGCTTCTTTTGCAAATGAGTCACTACCCTACTATAAAGCCTTCATAATCCTTGGTGTCATTTATTTTCGATTATGTCGGGTAAGTCTAATGAGTACCTTCTCGTACTCGTGGTTTTATTCCCACTTGTTGCAGATGGGCGGATGTATTACTGCCATCAGATCAATCGCTCTGTATCCTCGCGATGGGTGATGCTTAGGACCATGGGCATAGTCATTCCTTACGTCTCGTCTAATGCTTTTGTTGGAGATGATCATTCGCTGGCACTATATTTGAACTCCACGTGAGTGTGTGTGTGGTTTGAACAAATGGCTTCCGCTACTTTTATTTGAACTGGTTTTGTAATAACTATGTTTAAACTCTGATGTATCTGAGATTGCGAACTTTTATTTAATATGTGATGGTGACCGCTAAACTTATTACGATCTTGGCTGGAATGGAAGTTGGTTTGAAATCCTTCGTGATTTCACGGACTACCGGGTTATACGGGCTTAAGTTTGCTCAATCGTCTGCTCTGGCGGATGATTTTCTTACTTAATTTCGTATAATTGGTCGGTTCTGTTACACTCTTCCCACCAAAACTTTAGGTGAGTTGGGTCTTGATTGGGGTGGATCAACTGTACATCGAAATGCTCCCATGAAAGGATTTGGCTCCACACTGCCTTGGCGAAAGGGCAAAGGAGTGATAGGTCAAGGCATGTTTCCAAAGGTCCGTTACATAGGGCGCATTGGTCCTGATGAGGCCACCCTCTTCTGAAGATTATCCGCTGTTAAGACTTTTTCCCGCACCAGGATCCAAACAAACACTTTTCCTTTATTCTCAGCATGTGCTCTCCAAATGAGGTCATTTCGGAATCCACCGTAGGAACCTTCGAACTGGATCCTATACGCTGAACGGGTGGAGTAAGAAGCATCGGCTGTCCACCTCCAGACTATGGAGTCACGAACGCCCGGTGTCAACTGGATGTTTTGGAGCCTTATCCAAAGGGAGACAAACTCCTCAACTTGGACAGCGGAGGTGATCCTGCCTCTTAGCGATCGGATCCAACTATAGTTTCGAAGCCTCCTGTTGGACCGATTTGTTTTTCCTTCTCACCAAGTCGAACAAGTGTGGTGCTAAATATTTGGGTGCTTCACCGTCCAGCTTGCTGCTATGCCAGAAACGGGCCTTTGCGCCATCGCCAATCGTGACCTTGGTTGATGAGTTGAAGAGCAGCCGGTCGGCTTCGTTGCAAGGCAGTTCCACGCCCGCCCAAGGTTTGGATTCATCCACCCAATCCTGCCAAAGCCATCTTAGGCGAAGCGCCCTGCCAAATTTTTCTAGATCCGGTACCCCCAAACCACCAAGGTCTTTGGGTCTAGCAACTGTTGGCCAGTTCACTAGACAGTGACCGCCGTTTGCATTTTCTTCACCTTTCCAAAGGAAGGATCTCCTGACTTTGTCGGTTTTCTTCCTAGCCCAAGCCGCAAGGGGGAACACTGTGAGGTGGTATGTCGGCATGGATGAGAGGACCGAGGAGACTAGAGTGAGGCGACCAGCTCTGTTTAGCCATCTCCCTTTCCACCCAGGCAGTCTTTGGCCAATGCGCTCTATAAGCGGTTGCACATGAATTTTCCGAAGCTTACGGACGTGCAGCTGCAGTCCTAGATACCGGCAAGGGAAAGCACCTCTGGTTCCCTCAAAAGAAGACAGAATGTGGTCTAGATCCACTTCTTCACATCTGATTGGGTGAATTGAGCTTTTCTGCAAATTAATGTGCAGGCCTGAGAAATTCCCAAATGCTTGCAGGACCATTTTGGTAGCTTCCGGGTCTTCTTTTATGGGGTTTATGAAGATGGCCGCGTCATCTGCATACATGGAGGTCCTCCACCTTGCTGTAGCCGATGATAGAGGAGAGAGGATTCCTTGCTGCGTGGCCATCTCTAGCAGCCGTTGTAGGGGATCCATGGCGAGGATGAAGAGCATGGGCGATAGAGGATCACCTTGCCGGACCCCTCTGCCATGGATGAAATTAGGCTCTCGCTAGCCGTTTAGCAACACCGTCGAAGTGGCCGTGCGGAAAAGGATGGACACCAATTCGCGCCAACGTTGCCCAAAGCCCAGTGCTTGGAGCACCTCGAGCAAGTAACTCCAGTTGATCGTGTCAAAAGCTTTGTGGATGTCTAGTTTCATGAAGAGAGCCAGGTTTTTTTTGCCTGTGCAACTTTTGTACTGTGGTATGGACATATAAGAAGTTATCATGGATGCTTCTCTTCTTTATGAAGGCACTTTGACAATTGGAGACCAGCGAGTTGAGAATGGGGGCGAGCCTGTTGGCCAGGAGCTTTGAGAAGATCTTTGCAAAGCTGTGAATGAGACTGATGGGTCTGTAATCTGTGATCCGCAATGCGTCCTCCTTTTTTGGGAGTAGGATAATGTTCGCCGAGTTCATGAGTTCGAAACCCCGAGAGTTCAGATGGAACAAATTATTTATGGCCGCCGTGACATCGTCTTTGATGATCTCCCAGCAGGATTTGAAGAAGGCACCGGTGAACCCGTCGGGGCCCGGGGCCTTATCCGACGACATCGAAGTTATCGTGTCCTTGATCTCCTCTTGTGAGAATGGCACTTCCAGCTCTGAGAGATCTCGTGGGGTGTATCCCAGTGCCTGCCAATTTATGGTCCTGGCCCTTTGGATGGACATGCCCAGGTGGTTCCTGAAATATTCTCCTGCCACGTTTTCCTTTTCCTCATGGCTGAAAGCCGTCCCCTCATTTGTTTGCCGGCAGTGGATGTAATTTTTTCTCTGTCTGGCGCTTGCTCTTATGTGGAAGAATTTTGTGTTGGCGTCTCCGCAGCGGATATATGTGAGCCTCGATCTTTGCCTCATCCTTGATTTTTCAATGGCTGCAAGACCGGTGCTGCGAATTTTGAGACGTCGTCGTAGGTCCAACTCTTGGTCCGTGAGTGTCCTGGATTCCTGTGCCATTTCCAATTGCAGCAAGATTTCTTTGATTATGGCTAGCTGCAGCTTGGTGTCCCCTATCTTGTCTCTATGCCATCTTTTGATACTTCTTGCTACCCTTGCCATTTTGATGTGGAGGCGTTTGAGGGGTAGCTGGGAGCTAACCGGCCGTGCCCAAGTGGCTTGGACCATGTCTTGGAATCCCGGCACGGTGGTCCAGAAATTCTCAAAACGGAAAGCTGGGTTGGGGCGATGGTCAAGGTCTCCTTGAAGTAGTAGCGGTGTGTGATCGGACATAAGAGACGGCAAGGAGTGAAGGAAGCAAGCCGGAAACAATAATTCCCATTCGGGGGTGCAGAAGAGCCTATCAATTCTTGTTAGCGTTGGGTTCGTCTGATCGTTGCTCCAGGTGAAGCGACGACCATTTAATTTGATTTCTTTGAGCCGCATAACATCTAAGGCCGCCTTGAAGGAGTTCATCAGACGCCAGTTGAGGTTAGAATTATTTTTGTCTTCCGCTTGGTATATAAGGTTGAAATCTCCCAAAATGAGCCATCTGTTGTGGGGGGGAACTGGGATGCTTTTTAATTCTTGGAGGAACTGAATCTTTTCATCATCCCTTTGTGGCCCATAGACCACAGTAATTTGCCATTGTGTCCTGTCCGCCCTCATGGTAATTGTCGCGGTGATAGCATTTGTGGATAATTGGATATCTGATAAATCGAAGAAATCCTCATTCACAGCTAGCAGGATACCACCTCTGGTATGTGCCGCTGGCAGCACAGCGAAGGAGTTAGCGAATTTTGGACCTGCTGTTCGACTGACAGCGCTCTGGTTCATGATTTGTAGTTTGGTCTCCTGAAGACAAACAATTGTGGCACCTGTGTCTCTCACAAGCTCATTTACAGCATCCTGTCTGGCGCCATCATTTAGCCCCCTCACATTCTAATTTAGCAAGCGACAATTATGCTGGGCCATTTAAAACAATCTGACAACCCTTTGAAACAGCAGGACAAGCAGCCTGGGGGAGTAAACTTCCTGATGGAAGAAACCAGCAGAGTTCCAAACACACAGCAGCACAACAGCCTTACATTCAGGAGCTTGTAACGTTGGTGCAGGTACCCATTTCCGGCTATACTGAAGGCCAAAGGCTGCCGGTATGGTGACCATATGCAGGGGAGCAAGAATCCTAGGATGACGACGACGAACAGATAGGCGTTCTGATTCACTGGATGGTTGGGGCGATGACTTCAGGCCCCTGGCTGTCATCCCACCCATCCAGGAAACCAGTGGGCAGCGCCTATACATGACGAACACGATGCAGCAGAAATTAAGATGCATGGAGGCTAACATTTGGTCAGAAGCTGAGGACTTGTTTACTTTGCAAATTTTTTCAACCTGATAAATACTACCATTTTCGTTTTATTTGGTAAATATTGTCCAATCGTGGACCAACTAGGCTCAAAAGATTCATCTCGTGATTTCCAACTAAACTGTGTAATTAGTTATTTTTTTTACCTACATTTAATACTCCATGCAAGCGGCTAAAAATTGATTTGATGGAGAGAGTGTGAAAAAACTTGGAATTTGGGTGGCATCTGAACAAGGCCTGAATCCCTGAAGGGTGGATGCTGTGCATCTAGTCCTTGGCAGCGGCCGCTGGCATAGCAGTGTCGAGGCCGGACAGGCCCGTTAAGGCCATGACTGCTGGACCGTCGAGCGGGCCCCTGAAGAGGTCGATGTAGCGCAGGAAATGATCATCAGGGGTGAGACCCTCTTCCTCCATGATGCCAAGCTTCTTCATGAGGACTTGGCGGGCTCGAGTGTGGGTGTCGCCTTTGGGCCAGTTCCTGGCTGCAATGCAGACACTCTTCCGCATTGGGTGGGCTGGACACCTCTTGCGCCGTTGCGGCTGCTCATTCTTGCGCCGGGGCGGCTGGAGCAGGGGTGGGGGCAGCGTGAGTGAGATGGTGTCGATGGATGCAGACGCCGCATGGTCTGCGTCACACGCTCCCCCCCGCCCGTCAATGGTTGTTGCAGCAGCAGCCATCTGAGTTGGAGACGTGGCTGCCGACCTGGAGGACGCGCAACCCCGTCGTGCCCTGGCGTTGCCTGGTCCGCGGGCCCTACGCCTGGAGTACACGAGGCCGGGCTTGAAGCGTTGTGCAGCCTTGTTCGCTGGTGGCTGCATTGTATCTGCAGCAGGGGGCTCTTTGTCGCGGCGGGGGCGCCTGGAGTAGACCCGCCCTGGGATGAAGCGGTGATGCACGCTTCCATCAACGACCTGCAGTGGCTCCGGCGCTGTTGCGGCATTTTCCTGCAAGTTGGAGGGGTGAGAAGCATCCCAGCCTAGTGTGGGTGAAGGTGGTGTCGAACAGGCGCATGTAATCTGAGTTGTGTAGGAATGATTCGGAGGTGTTGCCGGAGGAGCAGACTGCTGTTTGGGGTGGAGCGGAGGCGCAAGCTGTGGCTTTGAAGATGTTGAGTGCGGCTTTGAAGATGTTGAGTGCCCCGTGCTGCGTACCTCAGGAGGGTTTGGTGACTGGTGATGATTGTTGCCGCTGCCATGCTTGGGGCTGGTCGATCTGCAGCGTGCACGTGGAGCGGGTGACACCGGGCGCGGTGATCTTTGCCTCGGCTACGAGCACGCCCTCCTGGACCCGCGACGGCGCGAGGCACGCTCTCTGCTTCTGCCGCGTTCTCGGGCCGGGCTGTTGCTTCGTGGACGACCTCGGGGCCCGCGCGTGTCCACCAGGGCCTCCCGCGTCGGTGAAGGGCCCTGGACAGGCTTGGAGTCGCTGGAGCGTGGGGGCGTTGTAGCTGGTTGGTGCGGCGTATCCTCCATGGCAGCCACGCTGTCGTTGTGTTGACGGTGTCGAGACCCGTGGGCAGAGGTGCCGTCGCGACGGCGTCCGTGCCGCGACTCGGACCACTCGTGCTCCCTCTCCCTGGGAGCCCGCGAGATGCTGCGGAAGAGTCGCGAGCTCCAGCTGTCATCCTTTCGCTCACGGCGGCCGTGTCGGTCGTCTTCATCATCACGGCGGTCATCGTCGTCGTCGTCGCGGCGAGAGTTGAAGCGGTTCGCGGACGGCCGGTCGTGGCGGTCTCGTGGCACCCTTTCTCCGTCGACGATGCCATAGTACCACGTGTAGCGGCGAGGCGTGATGCGGCCATCACTCCCCGGTGGGTCCACCCGGTCCAGGTGCACAAGCACCCTGAAAGTGAGGGCGTGGCGTCCTCGGGCAGGCGGCGGCGCAACCCTGTTGAAGAACTCTGCCCTGCTGCCAGACAATGTGAGCCACGTTACCTTGGGGATCGCTGAAGGGTTGCACGTCCAGGCCCAGAGACCGAGGGCCCTGGTGTCCTTTCTGTCCAGCGACGACTTCTCGACGTAGTCCAGGTCGCAGGCGCGAGCGACGGCTCTCTTGGCGATGCTCTCATTCCAGGTGTGCAAGGGGATGCCCTCCAAGCAGAGCTTGACGTGGTATTGGAGGCTGCAGAAGTCGCCGTGCGTGAGCAGCCGCCATGGCCTGATGTGGATGTCCAGGTTGCCATGGGGGAGCATCTCCTGGTTCACCGCCTCGTCGCGGTGGTGGCGATGGGTGAAGTCGATGTAGAAGTCTTTTGGGTGGTGCTTGACGACGGAGACGTCCTCCGGCAGCATCCCTAACTTGGAGTAGATGGCCTTCTTGACTACCCCGGGCTCGACCTTTGGGCGATGCCGGCCAATCCATGCGACCGCCGCGTGGGACGACAGGCGCACTAGCTCGTCCTCCATGTCGCTGTTGGTGGAGGCCATAGCCGAGGTATCCTCTGGGTGCTCTGTAGGGTCCCCTGGCTGCGCCATCCTGGGCGGAGCGAGGTGGGGGAAGTTGTGGATGTCGAGTGTTGGAGGCAGGGGCGCAGGAGGGGGGACGCTGGGCTTCTGGGGCTGCTTGCAGTGACGAGCTTTATGCCCCCAAGAATTGCAGAGAAGACATCTCACTGGGTCCCTGCAGGCGGATGCAGAATGGCCCCGGGCGAGGCAGCGGAAGCACTTACCTCTCAGGCGCTCGCGGAGGCTTTCAATGGTGATGGAGCGGGATGAAGTGACCCTGGTGGTTGGGCGGCATGAAGGCGCAGATGGCTTGAATTCGGCGCTGCGCCACCAGTACTTCCGTCGCACTGGCGTCCACTCTCCTTCCGTCTGCTTCGCGCGGCGCGACAGTCGTGGCACTTGAATGCACATCCAGCTTGCACTCCTCTTGGGAAGGAACAATTAGGGGGCGCCTTGAATGCCCAGGTCGCTCCGTAGCCAGGCAGGTGCCCAGGATGCCGGCAATCAAAGCAGCAGAGGCGGATTTCAAGCAGGATTTGGCCGGTTGGGCGCCGTTGGGGGAGTAAATTCGGTTGGTGTGGAGCGGGCGCGAGGCGAAGTGGACGCGCTTCCCGGCCTGGGGCTCAGCATCAACAAGGACGACAGACCCCACGACGATGGACTTCAGGCGCGGGTGGGTGGAGACCGGCACTGACCCGACGATGGCAGGGCTCTTGGGGCGCTCGGTCCGCGCCTGGGCGAAGCTAGCGCTGCTTTCAATGGTCGAAGATGGTGGGCCAGCGTGGGGGAGCCGGGATCTGTGGGTTCGCAGGGGGGGTGGGGGGGACGACGGCGGTGGATTTGGGCTCCGCCGTCGTGGGTGCGGCGGGGGTGCCAGGGTCGGTGGCGGAGGCAACAGCTCCATCCGGGTCTGCTACAAAGTGATTCCGGCTAGAGACATTATCACATCAATATTTTTTCTTATTTGTTACAAGGAGTAAATTCAATATGCTAACACAATAAACTGATTTTGTATACTAGCAGATAAATTGGCCATTTCATATTAGATTTTGCTGTGAGCATTTGGAAGCCTAATGGTCTCTTTCCTCATGCAAATGGTATTGGAAGATTATTTAAGGTTAACTACAGCATAACATTAACTATATCATGTGTTAAGTGAACCTGTAAAGGCCACAGTAGTTGCAACACCAGCATGATTCTTAGACCTACCATCTTTTTTGTCATAAAGCTGGACTATCTTGGTATTTAGTTATCTCCTCTGGTATAATGATCTTTTATTTTGTGTCCGCTTTTTATCCTGTGCAGCACTCGAATAATCAACTTTCAACTATGCACATTATGTATCTACTTTGGTTTTTGTTATAAGGCATCCACATTCTTTTGATATGCTAAACATCGGTTGGAGCTGACTAAGTGAGTTTTGTAGGTATATGCTAACTCAAGAAGGGCAAGGCACTGCACGTGACTGTCTTTCACGGTCTGGATTAGATGATTCTGCACGACCTTTAACGATAATTGGTGCTCACAACACATCTGCTATGAATCCTTCTGTTGCCAGGCACAGTCCTGAGCTTGTCGGCGGCAGTTCTCTGACAAAAAACAAGAGCAGTTGCTACCGTCAAGTTCAAACTACTGTAAGAACTACCTTTTTTCAAAACTGCTTTTGTTTCCCGTGCTAACAATGTTAAGATACATACACAGACAATTTCACAGATTCTTCTGTATGTTTAGGTATGATGAAAGACATAAACGCGTGCTTTGATAGTCTTCTTCAGTTATTACTAGAAAACTCAGGGCGCGGCGTTGCCGCGCCATCTTTGAGATCGCCAGTGGTTATTTTAGTTTTAGTGTTGTGCATGAATATAAGTGCGGAGGAGCTGAAATTTGGTCATGATCTTATCCAGCTAGATTTTTTTTTGTAGTTTCAGATTTAGCTTTGGGATGGGATGTATTAATAGATAATAGATGGTACCCGTGCATTTTTGCGGGAGAAATCAAGAGTCACAATTATCATATTCACTCAAGTGCAAATATTTTCATAGATATTTACAGATTAGCTAATCAGAAGTGACACTCAAACAGAATCTGCACTTCCATGATTCTATCACATTTGGTATGTTTACTACAATACCAATACAGCAACTCAAAAGCAAGCAGCAAGCAAAGCAAGCAGGCGATTTGATGACACGGCACAAAAGGCAACGTCATCAGGAAGGCAGCAGCAGACCTTTGTCCAAGCATTAGACGCATTTAGCAGCTACTAGCCAATGAAGCTACCTGCAGCTTAGCACAACTATAGCCTCAACGTACAAATGTTATTGATAGCATGAGAACCATATCCAGGGAGTAGGGACTCACCTGCACTACACAAGCCTTCCTTTCTCTGTTAATACAAATAAAAAGAATGCTGGTCCAATTTTGAAAGACATGAAAGCTTTATTAGGGTTAGATATTGCTAATGGAAAATCTTATATTGTAATGGGCGCCCAAACACACATGTTTCTCTCACTTATGTTAATCTCCAGGAAAGAAGTATTGCAAGCTCTAGTAGTCACATAAAGATAATAAGTACATATATTCTATATGCAATCATCAAATACATACGATGATTAGATAAAATGAGTTGATTCTTATTACAGTTAATTTGAATATCAGAAGCTATCTGGGGTCTACTACATAACACAATCAAAATAGTTGTGAACGGAACTAACTCTGTATTCTACAAACTATTTACCACACCTAAATATTAAGTATCCTATGCACGGTTGCCTCAGAAAGGTATTGCTTTTTGAAAAAGATTCATGTTTCAGCCTTTGAGATAACATGCATGCTTAACTTATTAGGCAAGCACATTATGATTGTTAAAATGACTGGTATAACATTGTAAAGACCTAAATAAAAGCTAGTGCTCAGAACACAAAATTTATAATAAAAGCCAGTGCTTCAGACCAGATAAAGAGCAACAAACTTTGGAACTCCAATGAACCCCCATGGGCCATGTGTGCTCATTGGAAGCAACCTTACCTCCCATCTTTCATGATATCAACCAGCTGCTTATAAGCCAAATAGCAACCAACTAGATAATGTCCAAAACTGATGTTGAGCAGATGGATAACTGAAGCATGAAGGTTCCAATGACAATGAGGCTAACCTGATAAATGATTGTAGACATGCAGAAAACAATCAAATTGGATCCAACAGGTATATGGACCACTGCACCTGAAGAGAAGAAATCACAACAACCAATTAGAAGGAATCCTCAATCGATAATCGCTTGCATAATGTGTTCGTGAATCGCAACTCTTCACCAATTGGTCGCACAGGTAGCACATCAACCAGCACAAGCAATGGTGCAGTTTGTTAGGTTAACCTTGCAAATGAAGAGAGATTGGTGGGAGCCGAGAACTGAGCTATGTTCAGAGATTTAGGAAGCACACATCTAAATATGTAGGAACCAAAAGAAATGTACTGTCTGTAGGAACTGAAATGTATTATCTATATAAAATGAATATAAATTGTATCTCAAATTCTTTAGAACGGTGACTGAAAAAGGTAAAAAAATAGAGTATAATAGTACTTATTGCTTGTACAAAATAAAAAGCTGAGAGAGTACAGTTTATATCTATATGGTTTGTTACCTCAGCCCAGGGACATCTTTGAGCTTGTAATATTTCTCTGTAAATAAACAGGATTCTTCATTGGAATTTCTCTTTGTGGACCTATAAGTGGGTTTTCAACTTTTCATCTTCCGTTGGCTCTATGAAATCAATGTGTTTTAGTAGATCAATGAAGCAAATGTGTATATACCCAACGCACACAACAAATAAATTAGAGAACATTAAATAATATGGGAATGATGTTTTGGTCATGGTATTAAGAAATGGGATCTGAAAATGGCCCCTTACATCTATGCAAAGCGTTAAGGTACTCATATTACAAATCTTGCTAGAACAGCTCGTCATCAGCTGCAATAAAGTCTCGTTGTCATTATGTTTTTAATTAGGGTTGGACAAGACTGCTAGCAAACAACCCTTATATACAGCCAAGAAAGGTTGTGTAAAGGTGTACTAGCACAAGGAAGAACAAGAATGGTATGTTTGTACACATCACGGAAGATATCATAAGCACAGTAAGGTAAAACAATTCACTAATTCAGAGGAGCACAAATGGCCTTACAAATTAACTTCTACAGCCTACTGCACAGATAAGAAATATCAAATCAGATAAACATTCAAAATCAGAGAACGTACTATGAATCAGTGAGTCTGACAAAGCTATCTTGCAAAACTGTCAAAAAGTTCAGTGCTCATGAATGCTAAATCCTGATTCGTAACCAATCTTATACCTATAGCATCAGTGGATTATCTGGAGTTCAGTTCTCATAATTCATTCTTGTCCAACTCATGGAATTCAGAAAGAAGCTGGGTGCGACTGTTGGAACACAGATGCAGGAAGGAAGAGAAATATAAGCACATCAGCCTTATGTATTCTTTTCTTTTGCACAGGATCACAGTCAAATATCCAAAGCTAAACTGAACATTTGCTATATGCCCAGCCTGCAAACAAAAAAAAAAGTTTTTCTCTAACTGAAGTACTTTGTTTTTGTAGGGAATATCTCTGACAGATTGCTAGCTGCACCTGCGAATATTTTCCCTACTTCTATACCTGCTGGTGAATGTCAAACTAGACCTAACTACAGTCTTTTCTGTACATAATTTGAATACAAGAATATAGTCCAACTCAAGTGGCTGGGTTATGCAAAGATGAGATTATGCAATACAGTTTGGCCATGGCGCCAAGGACAGTTGTGGCTGAATCCTAAAGTCCTCGTGGTGATTGTCTTCAGTCTCTTGTTGCTGGTTTCCTGTGCAGTTTTCAGTAGTTTCAGGTGTTTTGTCTTATCTTTTGCAGTTTTAGGTAGTCGACCCCCTAGTTGTGGTAGCTCTACGGAGTCTATTGCCGTCCTGTAAATACTTGTGAATCTCTTTTTTTTTCTTTTCTATCGTCTAATAAAATCTACGGCAAAGCTTTTGTCGTCTGTTCTAAAAAAAAAAGAATGCAGTTTGCAGAAAAGTTCATGTGCACATTGCGCAGCAAATATTACGGATTTCACTACCAGTACATTCACAGCTCCTTTGACCCACGCGTTGTTACCTGCCTGAATATTTTTTCCCTAAAAATATATATACATATGATCCGCTTTACTCTATTTGCTGATTTCTGACACCTTGGTTACCTTTGGTATTATTGTTATGCTTTACAAAATCTCCTGTCTTCTGCCTGCCTACCTCTCTATGGTTTATGCATTCCATGTCCTGTTTCGTAGTGTCATAGCTGGTATAAAAATACAAGAGATGCACAAATATTTATCTGGCCCCTTTACTACCCTGTGCTCATTCTTCCATGGTTCTTGCTGTTTATACCAATTGTTAATTATAGCACAAATACTTCTTACTTTTATGGTCCTATTCTCCATGTACAAAGTATGCCATACTCTTTATACACGGTTACACATACCTTTACTTATGTGTGCCCTTACGTAACTCATTATTTTACTTCGTTGATATTGTTTTGGTCTTCAAGTATAGCTTAATTTACCCCCCTCCAAGACGAATTGGCTGATATATACTCAGGGGCGGATGGGGGTGGGGGGACTGGGCTGTAGCCCCCTCGTGAGCATGATTTTCTACCTTAAATCACTGTTACTTAGCCTCAAATCACCATTAATCTCTAGCTCTAGCTCCGTAAATCTTCATTGTTTAGCCCCCTTTGTCCCTATCCTAGATCCGCCCCTGTATATACTGCTTTTGGCCGCTCCAGCTAAATCTGTTGCGTATCGTGTATATTGTCGGTTTGCGACCCGTGTCAAGCGCGGGGTTACCCGCTAGTAAGATACATGTTAGGTGTCTGATTTATTATATGTATATATCTATATATATTTACAATTAAGAATTAGAGGTTGGAACTCAAGACAGTTAGAAATATTTTGAATTTATTATGTATCCATGTTTGTGTTTGTTAACTACTTAAATGTTCGAAGGTTCCGTTATGTAAATGAATCATTATCTTCAGCCGATGCAAAATCTGTTGTGAGGTTATCCCTAGACTCGTCATCTACGAAGGAAAATGCCTTATTTTTATTGCAGATGATATATCAATATTAGCACCCCCTCCCTCTCAACTTTTTCTCTCCCGTTTTATTTTCCTTCTTATTTTCGGCTAGGCCTATCAAACTTGGGCCACAGCACAGGCGGTCTTTAGGCCCAATAGGTCTGGACGGTGGCTGGCCACCCGCACCGTATAAAGGGGATAGGACGCCCTTGTCAAGTTGCCTTCGGGATATGCAGCCTGTTCGGTACTGCTGCCTGGATCGTGGATTATTACTGCTGACTGGTTTGGTGTGAGAGAAAAATACTATTCTAGCTAGAAGACACTGTTTATGTGAACAGTACCCACGTAAGAGGGCTGGCCAGCACCAGGCAACCAGCCGCTCCAGCCGAACAGGCTGATGGTTTCCCCTTGCTGCCCTTGCTCCCTCCCCTGCCGGCGCCCTCGCCGTGCCCCTGCTTGTCGCCTCTAAACAAATTAATATGTGGTGCACAAGAGAAGCTAGTGATGCACAATTTTCATAGTACACAATTTTTTCTTCAACCTACATCTTCTCTTCAGTGGCGGACCTATACGGTAGGTTATGCTGGAGCATGAGTTGATAGGCTTGTTAAGCCTAATCATGTACTGTAGCATAAGCCATAGGCAACAAATTACGTCAAATATCTAAATACGCTGACATGCGGCGGCAGAATTTTGTTATTACACGAAAGGTTCCTCGTTCGAAAGCAACTGAGAACTGGTATTATATAACAGGCAGGTCTCCTATGCCGGTTCATTTTTTTTTAAAACCTAAGCACTGGTAAAACAAGATACGCTACAATTATCACGTGCCGTTTCACATTGCGCATCTGCCATCGAAAAGCATTTCTTACACCAAACCGCCGTTCTCGGGTCTGGAATGAGCTCAACGCCTGCAGGTACTCGGCCTCCCCAAAATCCGGCCACAGTGTGTCGGTGAAGTAGAGCTCAGAGTAGGCGGACTGCCACATCAAGCAGTTGCTCAGCCTCACCTCGCCGCTCGTTCTGATGACCAGGTCCGGGCACGAGAACTCTCCGGCCACCATAGTTGCATGGACGGGCCAGAGTGCTCACGCGATCCACCATGGAAGAAGGAAACGAGCGGATAAAGAAAAAAAGGGAGAGGAGAAAAAAAGGCATTATAAACGGCTACAGCTAGAACTGTTCGTGGCACTGAAACAAAAAAACGGCTTCATTAGTAAAGTGGAGCCATGCCAAACCAGGCTTAAGCATCCTTGCAAACCTTTCAAGTGTAGGATCTCTAGGCCTCTAGATGGCCTGTCTTGCACGACCCCAATTAATTTTGCATTTTTCTTCCTGTCAAAACTTAGAAACCGGCCCACAGAAATTGTTGTCTTTTATTGTCAAATTTCGTCCAGCACCTCCATGGGTGCCTGCTGAGCGGTGGGAAGGTAAACCAGTCGTGAAGTGAGCACAGATTTGTAGAGTGAGCCGTCATGCTAGAGTCGTGTTTTTTTTTCTATTCCAAGATGTGAATTTGCTAACCGCTTTATCACCAAGGAACTGAAGGTCAACACACGGCTAAGTCGCGAAGTAGTGAGTGGTAATAGTGACTTGATAAGTTAATGCTGTTCTGCTGATCGATCTCCATTGCAGTTTTGCAGAATGCAGAGGCATGGGCCCTTGGGCTTAAGATGAATCATTGATACATTTCCCTCACCAGATTCAAAACTTAGGTCACAAACTAAACTGGTATCCACCCGGAAGAAGCAAGAGATGTTAAAATCTGTCATGATAAGAAAACTACTGCAAATGTGGATCGATAGTACGCTCTAAGTGTAATCATGAACTGTAACAACTGAGCATTTATTTATAGTGGAGAAAAATAAGCTACAATTTCCATGTTCGATTTCACACCGCATGTCCGCATCTGCTAGCGAGAAATTAAGCATTTCTCTGACCAAACCGCCGTTCTCTGCTCTGGAATGAGCTCAGCGCCTGCAGGTACTCGGTCTCCCCAAAATCAGGCCACATCACGTCGGTGAAGTAGAGCTCAGAGTAGGCGGACTGCCACATCAAGAAGTTGCTCAGCCTCAGCTCGCCGCTGGTTCTGATGACCAGGTCGGGGCACGAGAACTCGACTCCGGCGACGCTTGTGGCGAGCTTGCTCGCAAGCATCGCCTCGTCGATGTCCTCCGGCCTGAGTGTCTTGCGCTGCACTTCCCCGGCGAGCGCTCTGCACGCCTGCACGATGTCCCACTGCCCGCTGTAGCAGGTCGCCACAATCAGGTGGAGCTGCGAGTTGTTCCTAGTCATCTCCTCGGCTTCCTGAATAGTGTTCTGCAGAGAAGACGGCCGCCTTGAGGGGTCGCCGATGACGTGAAGCCGAATTCCGTTCCTACCGAGAACAGAATCATCGATTACAGGTGATGCACACGTACTTTGCAGTTTCATATCAGTAGTGCATCAAACTTTGTGGCGTGTTGCTGTTTTTTTTTAGAATTACACGGTACAACACACACTCACACGCACCTCACATACTCGTCAAGGTTGTCACGGATCGTCTGCTCGATCATCCCCATCAGGTAATCCACCTCCATCTTCAGATTCAAATAATGCAAGAACAGTATGCTATAAGCACAAGATCTGCCGATCGGGGATCAATCAAGAAGGTAAAAAGTTATAGCTAGTGAGGGGAGTGATGCCTTGGGGCGGCCAAAGTTCTCCTGGGAGAAGGCGAACACGGTGAGCACGCGGATGCCCCAGGCGTGGGAGAGCCGCACCGTGAGCTCCAGCGCACGGCGGCCAGCCTCGTGGCCCTTCGCCGTCAGCAGTCCGCGCGCCTGCGCCCATCGTCTGTTCCCGTCCATCACCATCTCCAGGTGCCGCGGCAGCGACTCCGGCCGGATCCCGCGCTGGACCAGCGCTGCCTGAGACGGAGGAGCGACCTCGGCGCCCGCGCCGCCGTACACGCTGCAATCGTGGTGCCGCGTGCGTCTCAGGCGAGCAGTAACAAACAGGAGAACACGTGAGAGCATCGACAGGAAGCGGGAGAGCATCGTGGTATATTTGGCCCTGGTCTCTCGTCAGCTCCTCGGGAGTAGGTTTCGGTAGTGGTGGTTCCTGTGTTCTGGGGAGGGGGGGAAATATATAGGCATGAATTCGCCTTCTATTTATTTTTATTACAGACGACACGGCTGCACGCGCGTGCACGTGTTTCATTAATACGAAGTTAGAAGGTTTACACGTCCATCATCACGTCACGGTGAGATGCCATGAGTGATGAGGTTGAACACAAACACAAGACACTGCTCTATGAAAGTACTGTAAGCAATCATAGGCGCCTCTGCCCACCACTGTAGGAAATAACTGCATTATGCCATTTCTAAAACACATAGGTCTTCACCCTTGATGGGCAGGGAGCACCAGTGGCGGAGGGAAGGGGGGGGGCTGAGGGGGGCCTGGCACCCCCCAACCTTCCTGGCACCCCCAGCCTTCCCGTAACTCCCATAATACACCCCTTAAATTAGGTGCTTAATTATCTAATTAACTAGTTAATGATATTATTAGTACTATAATTTTTTTGTTCTTACTCCATATTAATATCTAATAGTATTTTTGATAAATAAAAATTAGGTCTTTGTAATATTTTCTCCATATCTTTTTGTTTTCGTTATTGGTTATCAAACATTAATTTGTCCCCATACCACACACTCTAATTAGCTAGTTAATTGAAATCAGTGCTTTTTCTTGTTTAATCCTTCAAAATTGATCTTCAATTGGCATTAGCGAGTTTGGTCAATATTTAAAATTTAAATGCTACATAGTGGTATGATGTTTCCGTTTAATCGTCTACCGTTTAAGTGACCGTTTTGTCCGAGGCTAAACGATAAGTGACCGATTGTTTGCCATTTAACATTTAGGATCTAGTGCTAATTAGTTTTGGCCCTGTTTAACTACTTGTTATTACCTATTACCGTAATTCTTTTTTCGGTCAAAGAATTAGATTGATCGGGTAAAGGTTAGAGACCTGAGGCTAATTAAACTCTCTTCATTTTTTAGTTTTTTCTGCTTTCTTTTGTATCGCAGCACAAACATTTATTTGTGTGTTATGTACATCTTTGTCGCGTGTATATATTTTGACATGCATGGTTGTTGCCGGTTTGCACGGCCCTCCCTGTGCTCAAATCCTAGCTCTGCCCCTTGGGAGTACAAAGCCGTTAGCTGTCCCATTACTCCCTCAGTATAAAAAAAGCTGAATATTCTAAATTCAGAAAAAAGTCTCAAAAAATTGATATTTAGCTATTGAATAATAAATTTGGCCATATTAATTTGAGATTGTAGTATGCATACCTCTATGGATTATTTAAATAAAGGATCTATTTTTATCAGCATAGTACACCTTCAATAAATAGGGTACATAGGTAATTTTTGTTGAGCACTAAACTATCCTTAAAAATTCTAGAACATTAAGTTTTTTTTGGACCGAGGGAGTACTAGCAAACGCGCCAATACATCACAACGAATCTACACCTTGTTGTGCTTGCACGGTCATTTGAAGTTCTGAACGACCTGAGGCTTAGAGATTTGTGTAACAGTTGCATCATATGTTCTAATATACTCGCTCCATCCGGAAAAGAATGTAATTCTAGCATAATACCAAATTAAAGTATCTAAAGTTTAATTAATTATATATAGAAAAGTATAAATAGTTATGGCATCAAATAAATGTCATTAGATTTGCCATAAGATATATTTTCACAATATACTTATTTGATATCAAAAATATTAATATTTTTAACTATATGTTGGTCAAACTTTAAACACTTCGATCAAGAATGCACCTAGAATTTCATTCTTTTTAGAATAGAGGTAGTATATTAGAATCGAACTCCATACACCATCGCCAGATGCACAAACACGCACACTTCTAACTCGTAAGAGTACAAGGCATGAGTCTAGGTCAAATATGGATCATAGAAGACATGTAGGCACTTTGGGAAGTAGAAAAACAGATGGATGAATCACTTCGTCTTTAATATTATAATACTAACAAATATGTCCGCACGTTACAAATGAGACATACAATTTGCTATGCGATGTTCATGCCAATGGTGAGCTAGCTATGTTTTTATTGCATTTAATTAGGCCCAGTCCAACCTTAAATCAAATAAATTTGAAGGCCCATAATAAATGCCAGTCTAGTAAAGAATTAACCACATACGAGAAATTGATAGGAGATTGACTCAAGTTAAATAGATAGATATTATTTGCACTTGTTATGGGAGGCATGCCACACGCTTGCATGCGCTTCATGAAGCGAACGGGCTTAGACAACCAAGCCATGACATGAGTGGTGCAGCACCAATAAAGGATTTGCAAAAGCAAGAATGGTGAGATTGGGGATGACGTCTTCTTAATGTAATGAAGCGTAGCTCTCTTGCGTTTTTGAGAAAAAGATTGGGGATGACGGATGGACAGACAAAAGAGAAGTACGGGATGGATGAACAGGTGGAGAGTGTATGACCGAAGAATGAAAATTTGGTTAATATATGAGATCACATTCAAACAACCCATGCATTATCGTGACACACATATGATGCAACAAGAACCCAACAATAGCTTGGATTCACTATAAAAAAGGATTTTAGGGAAAACCTCTTTGATTAATAGAGGTGGACATCTTAAGGCGTCTTAATTATTGATTCACAAGGCGGATGCTTAGGACGCCCGCCTTTGTAAATCGATAAATAGCTCTAAAAAGCGATATTAACTTTGTAGTTAAGAAGGTTTTGATTTGAAAATATTGAGAGTCCCAGTTGTTTTAGGTTCACCGATTCTAAAATTAAAATTTAAAATTTTCAAAAAAAAACCTTATAGATGTTTCTTTGAAGGAATCGTAATGTCTAACCGGGGTGAATTAGCCTTTCTAAAAACTATTTGGCCTCTATTTCTACTTATTATCAAACATATGCAAAATTTCTATCTAAATGTGCAATTAGGTTTTGCTAAGCGTTGCTGCAAAAAAGTTATGCAATATACTGTATGTTCCAATCCTATTATTGCACTAGTAAACTAGACTATGAAAGTAATGCACACAACCTAGGAATATAAATGCCAAAACTTAAATGAGTTAGAGATTGCAACCTAAGGCCCTGTTTGACCCCTCTAATTTTTTGGCAATTTTTAAGAATCTGGCTTTTGAAAACTGGGTGCGATCTAAACAGGCCGGTTTTTGTTACCAGTTTTAGCCACATTCTTAAAACCAAAAAGGTGTTGATTTCTAGCTTTTGCCAGATTTTTTGACCCATAGAGCAATAAATAAAGTTAAATTCTTAAAAACTGAGGGATCCAGACACCCCAACTAGTTCTTGTTCAGAATCCAGATTTTAGAGACTAGAGGCGAAAACTGATTTTTAAGAATTGGAAACTCATCTAAACGTACCGTAAATATGGCTACTTTCACTACCAGAAACAGAAGGTAAGCGAGTGCAATATGGTTTGCCGAGTGTAATCCATCGGACACTCGGCAAACAAGCTCTTTGCCGAGTGCTACAAAAAAAACACTCGGCAGAATAATTGCACTCGGCAAACGAGACAAAAAACACTCGACAAAGTTTAACACTCGGCAAACTAAAAAAAAACACTAGGCAAAACTAGGCACTCGACAAAGAAATATGTTTGCCGAGTGTAATTGCCTAGCACTCGGCAAAGAAATATGTTTGCCAAGTGTAATTATTTGGCATTCGGCAAATAATTTTATTTTTTTTCTCAAATGACCTTGAAACTTTTTCTACTCTCCACATACAACATGTGGTATTCCATGTTAAAATTTGGTATATTTGTGGATCTGTATGCTATATTTAATTAATTTATTGCATTTCAAAGAATTTTTTGGTATATGTCAAATTTGAACTGCAAGTGATTCAAATAATAGAATAAAATGAGTAGAAAAATAATATTCATGTTATTGAGTTCGGTGTGAGGCCTTACTCGAGAAATGAAAAGAAATTTTGAACATCTTGTTCAGGAAACACGACAACGAACGTGTGGCCAAATGGTTTTAAAATTCTAAAAAAAGCAAACGAAGTCTAAAAATCATGAGATTTGTTATGATGTGATGATATCATACGTGGAGGCTATGGTAAAACATTGAGAAGGTTTCGCACAATTTGTCACATACGATGTTTACAAACCGAAGCATCTCAGAAGAAGAATCGTAGCGTTGAGAAGGAATCGGTAAGATTTGGAGTCAAAGTGACGGTCGAATTGGGGTTTAACTTCAAAACTTTTTGTATTGGAAATAGAGAACATAGATTGTTTCATGTGAAATTTTGGTAATTTTTTGGATCCGTTTGATAATTTTAATTTATTAAGTGCAATTATAGAATTTGAATT